AGAGAGAGAGAGAGAGAGAGAGAGAGACAGAGAGAGAGAGAGAGAGAGAGAGAGAGAGAGAGACAGAGAGTTGATAATATGTGGAGTAAAATCTCAAGACAGACAAGATTCTCCAATCCCCGAGGATAATGTGGAATCCTTCGAGTAAAATTATTTCGCTTTGAAAAGTTACAGGATCTCTCAGGCATTTTCGACCAAGTCAATTTCACAATTCTCGTCTGGTCGTTACTTAGTGAATTTGTCTTGGCAAAAGTGCACTCTCCGCCGGGATATTATTCACTCTAACATGGTGGATAGCGTCTCACCGTCTGATCCTTGTTGAAAAATTCATACCCGTCACTATTCACATTGTGACCTCATCCTTACATGGCAATTTTTCTTCTCTATACCGTCGCCAGGACGAATTGACGGAGATTAAATAAATTAATTTATTTTTTAATCTCCGTGTTCGATTTATCGATAAAAAGGCCAATTCTATTTTTCATCTCGCCGAGATTTAACTATTGGAAGAAAAGAAAAAAGAAAAAAGAAGAAAAAACAAAGCATGAAAAGTTTGGAAGTATAGAGGAACTTTTTGAGCTCTCCAAGTGAACTACAACACACAACACCACTATGCCCTGCAGCAGCAATGCACCCAGCATGCACCTGACTAAAAACTCCAAGAATTTCCATTTGTCCCTGCTAGTATTTTTTTACGAGGTTTCTTTTCATAGGCCAAGCGTCCGGGTCACTCGACTGTGTGTGTGTTACCACGCTCAATCGATCTGCTCGCCGTGAAATTGCCACCAGAGCCATAATTTCCAGACACTCTCCTTACGAATCATACAAATGTACTTTCCAACGATTCTTCTAGTTGAACCATTATTTCACAGTTGAACTCTTTAAAATAATAACCTAGCCATGTTAAGAAAAAAAGAAAAATCATTTCTCCAGAGTTATCATCAATCAAGAGATAACAGCATTTCATATTGATAATCTAGCTAATGAAATGATAATAGAGGCGTGTTTGATATTGCATCAGTCAAGATGACTAGCCATATCACCCCACATTCATCCCGGGCTTGATTAATTGTTAGTTATTTTGTGATTTCTATAATTTGCCCATATTTATAGGGACGAATGAGAAAAAAAATGGAAACATCATCGCTGAGATAATAAAAAGCAAGAGGAGAGATGCCTAATGGATATAACACTCGGCACTTTGTGACGAAAAAAGTTGGCAGAATCGATCAATAAAGAGCCATAGGGCGACGAGCACAATAAATGAGAAACGGATATCACTGGTTCTTCCTCTATATAGCACTACATATATAGCATCGATTCTTTCTAGCCAATTTTTTCTTCCCCCCCCCCCTCCCCCTTGTTTGTAAATGCCTGTATAGGAGTCTATTATAAGTCAATAAGTATTGGACTTTTCATATATGACTCTTGTTATCTTTATGTTTACAGTGTAGCGGACACGGAGTCAAGTGCTTTGCAGGTGGTCCACGCAAGAGCAATGAATCACAGTGTCCAATGTTATTAAAAACTGACAAAACAATAGTTTCATCAACTACCGTGATAACAAAATCAACAATCGTGCGAAATCATTTCAATAGCACTTGCAGTGTATCGAATTCTCCACATCAGAAGAAACTTCGATTTCAATTAGCCAAGGAGCGAAAAGCGAGCACTACACTTGGCATTATAATGAGTGCATTTACTATTTGCTGGTTACCATTTTTCGTTCTCGCTCTGGTGCGTCCATTCTTGAGTGATCCCAAGGCTATTCCAAAATCACTCTCCAGCTTATTTCTCTGGTTGGGCTATTGCAATAGTCTCCTCAATCCAATAATTTATGCGACATTGAATCGTGATTTTCGCAAGCCATTTCGCGAAATTTTATTCTTTCGTTGTGGTAATTTGAATCACATGATGAGAGAAGAATTTTACCACAGTCAGTTTGGGGATCCAGTCAATAATTATGTTATTAAATCTTGTGAGCATGACGAAGGTGGTGAATGCCTTGAGAATCATGCTCTAGAGACCACAATTGATGGGGCTAACAATCCAGCCAACGAGAGTTTTCTATGATCAACGGATCAATGTAGTAGAAAAATGGCTGAAGTGACTCTCGTCAGATCTCTCAACTCAACCAGTAGTGGATAAATTCATTCCTCGTGACCCTTTAAAGCTACAGGATGAAAAGCTACGGATAATAAAAATAATAAATGGATGATGCAAAAGAAATCACAAAGCGATTATTCATGGCATTTTCCCAGTGGCACATCATCCCCCTTGCTTCACTCTCGTGTGACTCTGCCTTCGATCCAAAGTGATCCAAAGTGAAAAGAGTCAACTGATGGAGAGAAGAAAAAAAATGCTTGTGATCCATCAAACACTGTCAATGACCTCTGATTAAATTGCAAAGCTCAACAAAGGAATCATTGATTGATGCTTTTTTCGCAATTGAGAAAGAAGAACCAATTTTCCAAACAAAGATAGAGTACGTGAGACTATAGTGGTCGCCATTGGATTTTGGCGTGGAATCTTGTTTGAATCAGATAAACTATCATTTATAATATTGCTATCTCTGAAATAATGGTAAATTTATCATCAAGAGAGAGAGAGAGAGAGAGAGAGAGAGAGAGAGAGAGAGAGAGAGAGAGA